AGACACTGTACTTTACAGTTTATAAGCAATTTTACATTTCATTCTTCTGACAATTCAGTTAGGCAAGCAAGGTATTATTCTTGCCTGCCTATAGCCCCCAACAGATATGTGGAAATGTGTAGAACCATGAGTCACATCCAAATCCTCTGCCTCCATATCCTAAGTCTTTTTTCACCATTCGACATATTAACTTTCATATGGTTTACTAAAAGCGGTCACATTTCTTATCTCCTTTGAACATTCATCCCGGAAATCTATGAACTCCTTTATACTTCATCCTGTTAGGCAGGCAAAGCAGGGCATCGCTCTCTGTTTACAGATCAATTAGTATGATCACTGATCTTTCCAAAGATGACAAAACTAATAAATATTAAAATTGTGGCATATCCAGAAGAAGATGACCAAACTCACAAAAGGTCAAAAACTAAGTAAGATGAAGAGTGGCTGAAGGAATTAGGATGATTAATTTAGAAAGAAGGAGAGAGCAACACACACACACACACACAAATTCTGTCATCAGACATGTGAAGGACCATCATATAAAGGGATCAGATTTGTGCTGTAAGGCCCGGGAGTTAAAAGAAATTCAATATTCATTCAATAAACAATTAATGGGGATCTACTCTGTGCTAGATGCTTGTTCTACACCACGTAAGAAAAGTCCAAGTCCTCAGGAGGGTCAGACTAGTAGAGAAGACAAGAAATAAGTAACACAAGATGAAAAGGACTCAGAAAACTATGGGCACACAGAGAATGATGACTCTAACTCTCTTTGGGGGAGGGGGCTAGTAGAAAAAAATGCACTGAACAGATGAGTAGGTGGGAAGTGGCATTAGCAGGAAGAAAGGGACTTCTCTGGTGGTGTAGTGGTTAAGAATCCGTCTGCCAATGCAGGGGACACAGGTTCAAACCCTGGTCCAGGAAGATCCCACATGCCACAGAGCAGCTAAGCCCGTGCGTCACAACTACTGAGCCCATATGCCACAACTACTGAAGCCTGCACGCCTAGAGCCCGTGCTCCACAACAAGAGAAGCCACCGCAATGAGAAGCCCGTGCAGCGGAACAAAGATGAGTCCCCGCTGGCCGCAACTAGAGAAAGCCCAAACGCAGCAACAAAGACCCAATGCAGCCAAAAATAAATAAATTAATTAATTAATTAAAAAAAAAAAAAACAAAACCCAGGAAGAACGAACAGCATGTGCAAAGGCCTGGAGCCCTGAAGCTCTGCAGTTAACCTGGAGTGGTGGAGCACCAGGTACACATTAGAAGTGCCAAGAGATGAGGCTTTAAGCTGGGAGTGTGGGAGGCCTGTAGTAAGGAACACAAAAGGCCTCACAATCTTCATGCCAAGAAGTTCAGACTCTAACACTCAAGCTACAGAACACTAAGAGTTTATAAGTAGCAGAGTGGCATGCTCAGAAAAACATATAAGAAAGTTCATTCTAGCAGGAGGACAGGCTTCTAGAGGCTAACAGCAGAGATAAAGAGATTAATTTACAGAGCTACTATTGTTACTCTAGGTGGAGTGATGATGATTCGAGAAATATCTAGGAGGTAAAAAAAAAAATCAAGGAGAACTACTGGCTATGGGAAATAGGGAAGGAGGAGAGTCCAGGATGACTTCTAGATCTCAACTTGGTTGAGTGATGAACAGTGATGTCCAAGGTGGGTAACAAAGGAAGACAAGTCCATGCAATCATTCAAACAATATGAGAGTCGTGGACCAGAAACTGGTTTGTTATTGTCTGGAGAGAGGGGATGAGGGAAGAGGTACAAAGATGAGTTTACCTTTGGTCTTGTGTAATGCAAGGTACCTCTTCAGTGAAGCTACAGAGTGACACGTGAAGCAGAGTGGACTAGAAGAGTCATTAGCTTACAGTAGCAACTGAACACAAGTAAAGTATACAGAATGAGATCAACCTTAGATACCAATATTTGATGAGAATATGAAAGAAAAACGTGAAAACAAATGAAGACTTGATCAGAGGAGCATGAGATGAATCAGGAGATAGAGTGACGCCAAAAAAAGGCAGGAGAAGATTAAAAAAAATTCAAGAAGGTGGGGAGGGTGAAAATTAAAGTTAAATGTACTACATAAAGCAAAGTTTACTAAAAGAAGTTATTCAAAACGGGAATAGACTACCTTGTGAGGTAATGAATCACATCATCAAGTTAATGATTCAGGCAGACAGAGTCACCTATGCAGGATGTTGACAAGAGGATTCTTACCTTAAATGAGAAGTATAGCTACATGACCTCTATAGTACACCTCTGAAGTCTAGGTCAAGGCTAGCCTCAGCATCATTAGGACATCAAATGTTCTTTTGCAATCTGATCAGAGAATTGGATATTTGATTATTCTAAGAAAAGTTTTAAAAAACAATTTCTATATATTTCATGTAACTCAGAAGCAACCAATACTGGATTAAAACTTTTCACTATTTCTGCTCTTGGGATACAAAAAATTGATGCTGAAATGGTAGAAATAGCTTATCTAGTCTACTTCAAATTCAAGCTGATTTCAAATAAGCTCTCACATTGTCTTCCTAACGTTCTCCTTTCTGGCATCCCAATCCCACCTGAGCACCATTCCTTAACCTGTTCACTCTGATTAGAGAAGACCTGCAATGCACGGGTGACTTTATCATGTCATCTTTCCCTAGGTCCCTGCATATCTTTTCAGTAATCTGCCCCTCCTTGCTTCCTAAAGCCAGACTGTGTGCCTAATCATTTCCAACCCTCTGCCACTGCTGACCATTTTCTATCACCAGTCCTTCTCTCTTTTCTCCACCTCCTCATGTCTACCCAATGTTGGAAAAACACTCCATTTATCCTGTTTTCCCACATCCTATTGTTCTCCTTTTACTACCAAATATCTCCATACCCTACCACCTATTCACTGTAATCCCCTACAGAAAGGTATCTCAGCTACCTCTCTACAGCAATTAAAAAATTAAACCACTTACGAATGACATCTGATTTATTAAAACAGCTTGTTCCATTGCTGCTTACTCCCTTCTCAATCCCCTTGATGTCTCTGCAGCTTGCGAAAGAACTGACCAACCCTTCCTTGCTGCAGTTATTCCTTTCCCTTTTGCAGTGAGGCAGAATGGTTTGTGGAAAGCACTCTGCACAGGATCAGAAGATCCGTGCTCTAGACCCAACCATACCACTAATTAGCTGTGACTCTCCTCACCTCCACTTCTACTCAGATCTCACTTCCGAGACACCCCGACACCCAGTCTAGGTTAGGTCCCTGCAGTATACGCTTTCTCAAAACCTACTCTTCTCCTCAGTAGTGCTTATCACAACAACTTAATTACTATATAATTAGTGGCTAAATGGCTATCTTTCCTACCCACACGCCAGACAGCAAACTCCATGAAGGCAAAGTGCACATTTCAGCCATGCTTTACACCTCTCATCAGCACAAAATAAAAGCCCATCAATTGAATTAATGTTGAGACAGACGTTATGACTTCCTAAGAGACTTATTATTTTTATTAATCTAAAATTACTAGCACTTTACTTACAAAATTGACAAAATTTTAAGCAGTAACACACACATAATAGGATGAACTACATGTTAAATTAAATAAGAGTCTTCCAAGATAGTTACATTTTTCTTGCCTATCCACAAGAATAGAAAGGGTTGGATCAGTTACCTACATTTCAGGACCAACATGTGTACTCTAGGCTGAATGTGCTAGTGTGATACTAAAACACTATTGTTTATGTGGCTGTTTTGATAATATCCATTGGTACTTCAGGGTTAAAGCATTTAACACTGGCAAAAGCCGTGTGCTACATATACTCTGTAAGAATACCAAAAGAAAGTTTTTTTATCAGCCAAATTACATTGCCGTGTGATTTTAAATATAAACCAGAGAAAAACAAGTAATGGTTTAGTGAATAGAAGCTGCCACTGTGCCTGACAAGATGACTTTCAAATACAGAAATTTCAGATCTCATGCAAGCAGGTGAAAGTTGTCAAGTTTTATGATACACCACCTTGGTCAAACAATTTAAACAGATTACATGCTAATTTGTCCTTCATCTGCTGAGTGTGTCCCGCTCCACAATTACACTGTAAGGTCCTTACGGGCAGGTTTGGCGTTTTGTTAACTGGTCCCCTTAAATAAATAGGAATGCAGGTGACTTCAATAATCTATGATATAGAAAACCTGAAAATGGCTTTTGCGGCTAAATATACTTAAATATTGCCACCTGAAAACAACATTCAAGTACTTAAAATCCGATGCTTAGACCATTCCCTAGGTTAAGAGCAGTTAACAGGCTGTAAATATAGTTGTAATTCCCAGGAAAGAACAAGCATTTTCATAACGGGAACACTAACAGAATCACTTGGAGCTGTTCTCCAAGGCGCCCTCATCGTTAAGTCAACACCACTGGTTATGAGGGGACAACCGTGTCCCTCGGACACCCTCTATCTTCCACAGCCTCGGGGCTACAAATCCCGCACGAGGAGTCCCTCGAGATCAACCAGCGCTTCCCTGAGACTTCAGCTGGGAAATCCCTGGCCAGGGAATGCGGAGTTCAAGCCCCCCTCCCGCTTCCTTTCCTGAAAATTAATGAATTGGCCGTACGATTGTTTATTTAATGAGGTGTGTAGTGGCCTCTACTGGTGCTTGTGTGAGCACAAGAATGTCCCACTCTTACAAGTGGGATGAGCCTGGGGGAGGGGAGGGAGGCGAGGGGTGAACCTGCCTCCGGGTACAAAGCGCAGAACTATAGCCCGGAGCCCCCGATGCGCCCCCACGGCCGCCCCTCCCCCAGCAGCGCCCCCGCCTGCCCACTTCACTCTCTACCCTGCGCGACCCCCTTTCTCCTCGGCAACCCGAGACGAGGCAGAGAAGTTCCTACACGTTTCCTCCTGGATCCTAAACAAAAACACCGCAGCGGCCGCCGCCGGTGCCGGTGCCGCGCCCCCGCCCCCACCCCGCGCCTCCCGGGCCCGCACCCCGCGGCCGCCGCTTACCTGGGGATTGCGGCGGGGAGCCGCTCCTGGCGGCCGCGGCGCCCGACGCCTGGCGCTCGAGCAGCAGCAGGCAGCAGAGCCAGAAGGAGGAGGTGCTGAGGAGTCGCCGGGCTCTCCGCTCCGCCGCCATCTCTTCCCCGCGAGCGGCGGCGGCGGCAGCGCGGCGGAGCCCTCGCCTCCTTCCCTCCCGCGCGCCTCAGCCGGTCCCTCGCTGCAGGCTAGGCTCCCGCGGCCGCCGCCGCCGCCGCTGCTCCAGCCCGGCCCGGCCCGCGCGGCCCCTCTCGCGGGAGGGGAGACTCGGGGGCGCCTCCCTCCTGCAGTGGGGAGGAGAGGGGAGGAGAGCGGGGAGTCACTACATTCCGGGGCGGGGAGGTGGGTCTGTCTCCAGGTTCCAGGCGCCGCCACCCACCGCCGACTCCGGCTCCACACAGCAGCGCAAGGGGGGCGGAGACCACGGGCGGCAGGGGTGGGGGGCGGGGACCCGGGGCGCGCACCCCCGCGCACGCGCAGGCGCGCGCCTCCCTCGCCGACACCCCCTAGGCTCCGCGCGCGGCCCGCCCCCGCTCCAATCCCGGCTGCCGCCTCGCGGGCCGCGGCGGCGGGCACGCTCCCCTCCCCCTTGTCCCCGGAGCCGGGGACAGGCTCGGGGAGCGCGCGTCGAGCGCTGCTGCTGGCGTCAGGGAAACCCCGGAGAAGCGGATCCTCCTCCTCCTGGTCCCCTCGCACCGGGGAGAAATTTCCCCCGCCTCACCTCTCCAGACGCCTCTGGCTACGGAGACCTGAGGGCGAGAGGCGCTCCGAGCCCGGGCTTGTCGGAGAGGCCGGAGCGGGCGCGCACCTCTTTCAGCCTGGGCCCAGGGCCCCTATATAGGGCCTCAGAGGAAGCCGAATGGCCTCCGGGAGGAAACCTGGGTGCGCAGAGGGTCGGCGTGGGGACTTAACGTGCCAGCCAAAAACAATAGCGATCCCTCCCGGCTCTTGCTGGGACCTGGCGCGGCTCCCGTGGGAGGGGGCCCGCCGCCCCGCCTCTGACCTCCCGCTTCCCGGCCGGGCCGCCCTCGCCGCGAGCTTACCCAGGACAGTGCCGGGCCCGCCCGGACCGCTGGACCCGCCCCCTCACCCGCGGCTCTCCGCCCGGGTCCAGGGAAGCAGGGCGCAGACAAAGGTGCCCGGTGTCCACTCCGCCAGCCAGTGCGGGGACCTAAGCCGAGCCCCATGACTCCCCAGGGCTGATCCTCGGGCTGTAACTGAGACCTTTTACCTCTACTTTTGCGGGCCACCTCGCATTTTCGTACCTGGAAATAACGTCTCTTCGCTGGTAAAGCGGGAGCAGGAGGGATGTGATTTTAAACCACTTGGTAATCGTGAGGCAGCACCCAGGCTACCCAAAGTTAGGAGTAAGCAGTTTGGAGTTATACTGCTGATGAGAATACTGAAAATCTTATAAGTTACACCCATGGAAAATATTTTGAGAAAATTTTGTTGTGTTGGTTATGCACTTGGAGAGTCATGTTCGATTGTTAATATGAGTTGGATTTTTATTCACTGTTCCGTATACCCAGTAACCAAAATGTGTTGCTTTCCGCAAGTAGATGGCTAGTTCTCTGACTTCCACAGCCCTCTGTGCCTTCTCGTAATTACTTTCTTCAGATATTTTCTTTTATTCTCAAGTGGCAGAAAGCAGTGTGAGGTTTGCGGTAACATTGGGAGGGGTAAGCTCAGAGTCCTCATAAAACCTCTCAAACCATCAAAACGGTGGAATCAGGAACCCTTTGAAACAATTGACGCTTAAAACAGCAAACACGGGCTTATTGTTTTCCACTAGGGAAACAATTTAAATATCTTTTTGTTTTGGTTAGACTTGTTAACCAGCAAAAATATTTCCTAAATACCCCTGATTGACCAGTTACATTAGAAATAGATTACCTCCCAATTACTTCACAAGTATTTGCTTAATTAACCTTTAATAATCACATCATTATTCAGTTTTCTGAGGTAATTAATGAGAAAGCTCTTTGGAAACTGTAAATTGCCTGGCAAATGTTAATATTCAGTCATCTTTTCTAAGTCTGGAAAATTTTCATTGTATCATAAGTATAAAATGCATAATAATGTGACTTTGAAAAGGAAACTTGCATTTATCTCCAAGTTTGAAAAATAAATGAGTTGTGGCTAATAAAGTAATCAGATTGTTTTTCATGTATGACCTTTGTGAACTCTCTAGTTAATTTATCAGTCCACTGTGTGTGTCAGGATTAAATCAGAAGTTTAAAGCACCTTCTGTAAAATAGGGTGACCGAATAGTATATTGCTGGCTTGTGCTTAAATCAGTTTTAACAAAACCCACTCTAATAAACCAGTAATAAATGAAGCCCCAGATTAAAAATTACAGATTTTATAACAATTCAAGAGTAAGACTGTAAAGTAACCCAGACACACACTTGAATTCAGATCCTTCACCTTGTTTCAATGTAACCGACATTGTAGTCATTCCCTTTCAAAATCATCATTTGGAGTAATTAACCTCTCCTTTCTTTAGTAAGGCATCTCCGAGAAAACATTTTCTTAGGCATCTTATTTGTTATTTTCATTCTCCAAACAAGATTTCCAACTAATACATCAATCCACATTTATACGGCTAGCCAACGTATTTTTATGTAGTCTATTAATCTACGAAGTGATATTAAACCATTCATGAAATTAACACTTTTTTTCATCTAAGTAAAGTTAGAACGTGAGACCCATGTTCAAGGAATAGTGCACAAAGAAACTTTTACAGCAAAGAAAACAGACTGGCCATTGTGTTCGTGTAAGTTATCAAAGTGCAGGCCAAAAATAACTAGAGCAAATATTCTTGTGAAATTTATTCTAAGTACTATAATATAAAAATTAATAAAGCCTATGAATATAAAACTTGGTCAGAATCTTATTCTCTATAGTGAAAGGATTATTTTTCAACTTTAGAGAGGCAATATAGTTCAGTGTTTAATTGCTGGCAGTAATTAGATTCTGCAGCTGATTCCCTGGCTGAATCCCAGTATCCAAGGTAGAGAAGAAAGCTAGCTCCTTGACAAGTAGATCCCAGTACAGAACACTCCCAAGTCACAGCAGTTTTAAACTAGGAATTACCCAGGTCTTAAGAACATGATTTTCTTCTGCATAGATGTTGACATTTTTACATTTGCTCTTTACATTCCACTAGGTAAGAATTTTTATTTCTCCCTTTCTCTTCCAAAAGCCACCTGTTCTAGGGAGCCATCTCTAATTAAGCCCAGTTAAGAAGGATATGTGCTCCTTAAGGACAAAGCCTTCACAGTATTAATTTTGCTTGTTACACGTTGCTTTAGTTAATCACACATGTTTAGTTCAACAACAATCTATTGACTCAACAAATATTACTGAGGACCTCTTATTTGCCAGATATCCTGGGTACTGGGATAACAAAATTATTGGTTCTTTTGTTTAATATTTATAATGCACTTCATATGTCTCAGGTCCTGCCCTCTCTTAGGGGAATGCAATGGTGAGCCATATAGACAAGGTTCCCGGCCTAGCAGGAAAGGTAAACAATTATAACAAAGAAGTGTGAAGAGTGTTATGGTAGGGAAAGATAAGGAGTGTGGGAAAACATAGTAAGAGCATCTAATCTCACTAAATTGTGGGGGGAGGCGCTAGGGAGGAAAGAGGAGGAGGGCTGGGGAATTAGAGAAGCAGCATGAGTCTCTAAACTGAGACGAATGTGGAAGAAGAAGGGAAGGACTTGACTACCCCTGCAGTGGGAATTGACATCAGATTTGCATTTTAGAAGGATTACTCAGGCTGCTTCAAGGAGTGTAGGGTAAAAGGAGACAAGACCAAGAAAACCAGTTTAGATTTTTGTTAACAGTAGTCTGGGGAGGAAATGTGGGTGGCCTGGAGTAAAACGGAGGGAATTAAGAGAAGCGAACAGATAAGAGAGAGATTTAAGAGATAGAAACCACCGGGGTGTGTGGGAGAGAGGCGATATGGGTGATAGATTTCAGCTTGGGCCACTGAATGAAGGTGGCGACATTCACTGAGAAGGGACCAAGGAAGAGGAGTAGATTGGAGGCACTGTGAGTTTAACTTTGGACAAGTTTAAGGTGTCTATGTGATATTTGAGTAGAAATATCAGTAAACTGTTATTTGTCTCTGTAGTTTAGCAGAGAGAACTGGGCCAGAGAGAGGTGAGTCATCAGTGTATACCATATATTCCCAGATATAAGGTGCCTTTGAATACAGGGTGAGCCCCCATTTTCCCAAATAAAATCCATCCACCTAATAAAACTTTGTGGTCAACTTGCATGTATAAATTTTTAGAGATATAGATGAAATAATCAAGGATCTACTTATAATGTTCCCTGTATTAATTTAATTATACTTAAATACTTTAAGTTACATATTATATAAAATGTAATTTTTAAAATAATTTTATTGAAGCTCCTCACAGTGATTTATGATCACCAGGGTCACATTTTGAATCTCTGACATAGTTCTTAAGGACAGTCATCTTCACTTCCACCTAAGTTTTTGACCCTATATATGGTGTTGTCACTGGGAATTTTATTCCAGGCCACTGTATCTAATCACATTATATCATTCATCCTGTAATCATATTCACTACCATATCATCTTCCATATCATCTTTCAAAGGCCTGTTTACAAGGACATCCAATATTTGCAAATGTGAAGGAATTTCTCTGGAACTAATTTCTAAATCTGTGTTAAATTTCCTTCTTTCCTTTCTTACCAATTCTGTCAGGTGACTTCTATATGAACATTGAATGAGATCATTGCATGCTAATGTGTATTCCCCCAAAGAGCATTTTGTTATTCAAGGACTTTTTAAGGGTCAGAATATAAGGCGACTTCCTCAAGAGATTATTGTGAGCTGGAAGAAGGCAGGTGTTGGTCTTATATTCAGGTATGTATGGTAATGCCAAGAAAGTGGTTGAGATTGTCCCAGAAAAGTTGAGGACAGAAAGGAGGATTGAGGACTAGGACCAAACCCAAGGAACACCAATATGTTTAGAGTATAGAACAGAAAGAGGAACTTGCAAAGAAACAAGCAGACATGTGAAAGAAAACCAGAGGCATATGGTATCACAAAAACCAAGGAAAGTGTTTCAGGAATACAGGAGCAGTCAGTAGTGGCATGTGTTCCTGAGAGGTCAAGTAAGGTAAGACCTGAAAAACACCCGTTGAATTTGGTGATAAGGTGGTCATGGACAACCTTAGTAAGTGTAGTTACAGCAGAGAGTAAGGCCACCTGATTGCTACAGCTTGTCACTGAGTATGAACAACTTCTTTAAGGAAGAAGAAGGAGGAAGAAAGAGTTGTGAAATCTAGGATTTTGTTGAGAGGGCTGTGGACTTCAATGCTAATATAAGGAGCAAATATAGCGGGAAGTGTTGAAGATTCAAGAGAGAAA